TGAAGGTTACCGTGATGATAAGAGTCCAGGGAGCCGATTGATGGGTGTCAACTGCACTGAGCGGGGGATTCATCTGTAATCAAACAGACCAACTGGCACAGACTGTGACATCATCATTCGAAATAGCTCCAGATTTTTACAACGGTGTTTCACATATATATATATATATATATATTATTTTTTATTTATTTTTATTTTTTTTAAAGATAACTTAGTCTCAATGAACTTATTTTTTTCTTTCTTTAAAGTGGACTTAAAATAAGTTTTAAAAAAAACACACACAAAAAAACAACTCAGTTGAGTAACAGACCTCTAATCTTAATTATGTTACAGATCCGACCGCCTTCTACGAACTGTGACCTTGGACTGGGTGTCCGGCCCCATCCGACCCCCTCCCTTCTTTCCTTTTAAAGCTGTAGTAAAACACCGCACCCAGTCGGCCCCCTCCCCCCCCCCCCCATTGGCGTCGCTATTTTTAGCGCTGATTTCAAGCGACATCGACTCGCGGGGTCAAACCGCTACATCGGGTCACAGAGAAGCCTCAACATCAACACAGAATCTCTCCGCCCCGGGGCTAGGACGCTGGCAAATCTTAAAGCAAACATTTTTTTTTTACAGACTAAATGTAAGTATATCTAACATTCTAGCAGTTTCAAACACGGATGCAATGTAACGCATTCATTTTTAATTTAAAAAAAAAAACAAAACAACTTATTTTCATTCGATTCTGGACTCGGATATGACGTGAATTGTTTGGGTTTGTTTACAGTTTTGCCCACTCGGATACATATTCCCCCCCCCCCTTTTCTTCTTCTTCTTGGAGAAACAACAACATGAACTACGTGATCACGTGACGTATCCAAGAGCCAGCGCGTCTTGCAGTGCGCCATCTGTTGGCCAACATTAATTTAGGCATCGTTGTTGACAAACTAACCCACATGAGTGTGGGGGCCAGCTTTTCGATACTCTCGCTGTCACCATTGAATGCAGCGCACCGGAAGTAGATATTTATGTGTTTATATTTTGTTTTCAGCGTGAGCAGTAGTGGTGGTCGATGGCGGATTGCCCTTTACACCCAGGGGTTTTTTCAGCTATTTCCCCGGGTGGTGGGGAGGGGGACAGTGCGCCCCCCCCCCGGAGGAAAGCCAAGTGCCCCCCCCCGAGCAAAAATATGTCCAACAATAAACCAACTGACACTGCCCCCCCCCAATCGGAAGTCGTCCCCCCGCCCCCGGGGGAAAATTTCTGAAACAAGCACTGTTTACGCCCCCCCCCCCCACTCCTCCACATCTATTGCATTAATTGCATTAATCGGCTATTTGCATCCCAAGAAATTGAAAGCGGAACATCATAAAACGATGGTTTATGAGGATCATTATTTTTGTTATGCAGGTTGCAACTGTACCCCCCTTTTTTTTCTTTGTTATTGAGGGGGGGGGGGTCGATTTGGTGTCTGTTTCATTTCCTATCCTTTCATAAGGTTGTGTTTCCTGCACATGCAAGTTAGCTAGCCAAGATGGCGTGAACGAAAAAAATAAATAAAAAGCACAAGAACGTGCCAGTTACTTAATTATAGCGCCCAGCCCTCGTTCACGTCTCGTCTTTTGTGTCCCTACTCCCGAGATGTGACTCTCGGTGGTGGCAAGGAATTATCGTAGTATCCCATCATCGGGGCTCATGATACAGACCACAGCCAGGGTTGAAACTAAGACAGTGCGCAGTGAATGGAGTGCACTTCACATTAAGCTCGTCAACATTCACGGCTTGACGGTCTCCCACTCCAGTATAGGTCGTCTCTCACACCAGGATAGGTCGTCTCTCACACCAGCATAGGTCGTCTCTCACACCAGCATAGGTCGTCTCTCACACCAGCACATGTCGTCTCTCACACCAGCATAGGTCGTCTCTCACACCAGCATAGGTCGTCTCTCACATCAGCATAGGTCGTCTCTCACACCAGCATAGGTCGTCTCTCACTCCAGCACAGGTCGTCTCTCACTCCAGCACAGGTCGTCTCTCACTCCAGGATAGCTCGTCTCTCACACCAGCATAGTCGTCTCTCACTCCAGGATAGCTCGTCTCTCACTCCAGCATAGCTGTCTCTCAATGCAGCATATGGTTCCCTGACTCCAGCAAAAGACTCTCTGACTCCAGCATAAGCCTCCGACTCTAGCATAGGAGTCTCTGACTCCAGTGTAGGAGTCCCTGACAGCCACTTGCTCACCCACATACGCAATTTAAAACTGTATACACTGAAATCCGCCACACCTCACCCTTATTTCAAATAACATGTTTGAGATCCGCTGTCTCGAATAAGCGTCATGGAGTTCCTGGAGTGCATTCGCCATAACAATGACTGACGTGTTTACTTACCGTAGACAAGGACACCCCATTCTTTTGTCGGAAGCTCTTTAAACGTGCCGATATAGACGCCGATCAATACCGAGTCAAAATCGGGAGAAAGACACGTCATAGATTGTACGCGCATGCCCTCCGAGTTGATACAAAACAGCTGATCTGATCAATGAATGGAAGAAGATATGAATGAACCTTTAAGGCCATCGGAGGGATTATGGGACAACATAGGCGTTGTATGGAATATGTGGGGAATTAGTGGTTTTGAGGGCGTCATCACTGATGAGGAGGATAGTGGGGGGGGGGTGGGGGTGGGGGTGAGAGAGGCGTTGGTGGCTATTGGCTATCTCAGTCATCTGTGTTGTGGGCCATATGAGTGGCTTTAGGCCTCACGAGTGTTTGTGGGCCATATGAGTGGTTGTAGGCCTCACCAGTGTTTGTGGGCCACATGAGTGGTTGTAGGCCTCACCAGTGTTTGTGGGCCACATGAGTGATTGTAGGCCTCACCAGTGTTTGTGGGCCACATGAGTGATTGTAGGCCTCACCAGTGTTTGTGGGCCACATGAGTGGTTGTAGGCCTCACGAGTGTTTGTGGGCCATATGAGTGGTTGTAGGCCTCACGAGTGTTTGTGGGCCATATGAGTGGTTGTAGGCCTCACGAGTGTTTGTGGGCCACATGAGTGGTTGTAGGCCTCACGAGTGTTTGTGGGCCACATGAGGGATTGTAGGCCTCACCAGTGTTTGTGGGCCACATGAGTGGTTGTAGGCCTCACGAGTGTTTGTGGGCCATATGAGTGGTTGTAGGCCTCACCAGTGTGTGTGGGCCACATGAGTGGTTGAAGACCTCACGAGTGTTTGTGGGCCACATGAGTGGTTGTAGGCCTCACGAGTGTTTGTGGGCCACATGAGTGATTGTAGGCCTCACGAGTGTTTGTGGGCCACATGAGTGATTGTAGGCCTCACCAGTGTTTGTGGGCCACATGAGTGGTTGTGGGCCTCACCAGTGTTTGTGGGCCACATGAGTGCGCGTTAGCCATCTGATTGGTTTGATCTTTCTGAGGTAGATTTGAATCCCGAAAATTCCCGAGGCTTTAGGAAATCTGCAATTATGAACATTCCGCCCCCCACCCACCCCCACCCCCACCCCTTACTTTTTCAGCAACGCCCTTGCGTCTGAGTCGCTAAGGAGTTGACAACAAACTCGTAAATTAAACATGAATGACGAACCATTAGATTTAGATAGTCTATTTTTGTAAATGAAGATCCTCTTCTGGTAGCTAAGTAATCAAATATGAGTGGGGCTGCTGCAGAGCAGTTGATGGCAGTTCCAAATACATTAGTGAATCAAATATGAGTGGGGCTGCTGCAGGGCAGTTGATGGCAGTTCCAAATACATTATTGAATCAAATATGAGTGGGGCTGCTGCAGGGCTGTTGATGACAGTTCCAAATACATTAGTGAATCAAATATGAGTGGGGCTGCTGCAGAGCTGTTGATTGCAGTTCCAAATACATTAGTGAATTTAATAGGTAGACTTTTTATTTTATTTTTATGTTCACATTAGCATCCTTACTTAAATGTGTGATTATTATCTTTTGAAATGTTTGGTAAATCTTAAGTGCTTGTCACGCATCAATAAACCATTAAGAATGGGCTAAAAACTAACATTGACTAGCTCTCCTTTCAAGTGTATTCTCAATTTTAAAATAATAATGATAAATATTACGTGTTTTGCGTGAGTTTTATAGTGGTTGTTGTAGGTTTACGGCTGGTAGGTAAGGCACTTCCTGGGCTTTGCTGACTTGTGACTTAATGCTGTTAGTGTAAGTCGAGACTGAATATGTCCGCATGGTTACAGCTATTGTAAAATAACAAATGAAAATCTCGGGATTTTGGGGGGGGGGGGNCATACCTTGATAAGCGTCTGGGATCAGACCTGGATACAGCGCCTGGGATCAGACCTGGATACAGCGCCTGGGATCATACCTTGACACAACGTTTGGGATCATACCTTGATACACCGTCCATGTAAACATAGACAGCTTCAAAATCGTAGGTCATTGACTTATTGTGTAGAAACACATTTTGTTCTACTCTCAGACTGAAACACATTTGCACACCGGGTGGTGGAGAGGGGGGGGGGGGCTCCCGCTTGGATGTTTGTTTCATTTCACTATATATCTAAGATTTAAATGTTTTTTTGTTGTTGTTGTTGTCCATTCTTGAATAAATAGAAGTTCTAGATTTGTTTGGGGTATTTAATATTCCCTTGATCAAATGGTCTTTACATATAAAACATCTAGAACCAGAATGCGTCCTGATTTTCATGGTGTAACAATCTTAATGACGTGATATAATTTATTATATTTACGCCCGAATGTACAATTGGATACCTAGCTCCCCAACAAGATGGGGGAACCACTTCAACACTGACATTCAGCACAGCACACTGTGTATCAATGACGGGGAAATATTTGCCCCCAAATTACAGGTTTGGGCTTTGGAGCTTGCGCAAGAGCAAAGTTAAAACGTTGGGAGTATCAAACACGTGAGAGCCCGCGACCCATTGAAGATCTAAGAACAAGCCTGGACTTGACGTCCTGCTCGCGGGGAAAAATTTACCATCAGTTCTTTCCCTTTTCGCGCCGTTCAAAGCTGTTCGCGCACGCCGTAACCAACCAATGAAATCATCGCGCAGCCCACGCTACAAACCCTCGCTTCTCAATCCTCGTCGTATATAAGGTTTAGGCTTCACTGTGCTTGTTTCAAACTTAGGCAATGACCGGTCGTGTTCGTTCGTGTTGGATTTATATTTTTATTTTGTTCCCAATGTGTTAGTGTTTACACGTGATAATTTGAAAACAGTTTCCGAGATTTACTCTTGTTCGCCTCAGCACAATTTTTATTTGGGTGATTATAATTTTTCTATATTTTTGACTCAATGTCAGTCAAGCTTGCCAAGTTGATCATGTTCAATTTCGACGAAAACGTGAAGCGGACCTCCAACGTTAAGAGAAACCTTTTCGGTACGCCCAAGAAGGATACGCTCAATGAAGTCCTGGGAAATCAGGAAAAATCATTCAACGAAACGGACAGGTTTAGAGATAGATGGGGATTCGATCCGTCGACCGGACGACCCGTGAACGGATCGAAATACGAGTGGGAAGCGATCAAATCAAGCGAGGTGCCGTCCTACTACACCAAACCCTATGCACAGAAAGCTGAGAAACGTGGTTACGATGGTTCGAGGAGACTGGACACACGGCAGCAGCGCAGCGGCACTTCTCGACCCCTGGGGTCGCCCAAACGAAAACTGGATCTTTATATCAACGACGAGAACCACCAAGTTCTGGAAGAGGATCAAGTTGACCGTGTGTCGTGTAAGGACCAGATGGACGACACCGCGAAAAGCGGGGACAGCTCCAGTTCGAGTGTCTTGATCAGCGATCGATTGTGTCCTTCGAATTGCGTGTCCGATTCGCCACCTTTTGGATTAATACCTAGATCGTCGTCCAGCAGCTCACTCCCGGAGCTCGAGTCGGTGCCTACCAGTCATGATATTTTGGCTAAGGAATATTCAACGCCGACATCGGCATCTCCGAAAAGGTTAAACCAAAGTGCAATAACAGGTAGGCATTTTTTTCTCTTTCCCCAATGTCAATTTAATTTACTTGTCAACGAAAAAAATAATTAAAATTTCGATGTTTTTATCGATGAGATGAAAATGTTATCGAGATGTTGTTGTAGTTGAGACATCAGAAACGGAGAGAGGCGAGGTATCAACTTAATGGCGGTTGCCGTACTGAAGTACCGCTGAAAAAATGAACAGAAAATTACTGCTAATTAGTCTTAGTCAGTTCTATTGTTTTTCCCCTCTATCTAACCTCCATCTAGTTTTTAGACTTGCGTTTGCTATTACTATTGACTATTGCATTTGAGTTGAGTCTGGCCTGATCAATTTCGGCTTGGTAGATTTCAAATCGGGGATCAATACTTGAGACAGTCCGCTTCGCTGCCATTGGTTAACTGTCGGAATATACAACTTTATTTTAAGCAAGTCCTGGCCTGGCGTTTTTTTTTCACCCACAGCTTCAGGTCACTATAGTCCTAGCTCTCAACTCTAGACCACGGCTACGCTATTCTCCTCGTCTACGCTATTCTCGGTGTACGCCTGGGCCAAAGTTTAGCGCTTGAAGGCCAAGCGTGTTCGTTCACATAATTTTGTGGAAAGGTCGCAATCCTAATCAAACCAATACAGTACAAATGGCTGCTACTGCTATGCTACTTTACTTTAAAATCGAGGCGGAAAATTTATTTATTTTTAAAATGCCTGCACTCTCATTAGACTTTGTTGTTGCGTTTCATTTATTGTTATTAATGTATAAAATATAAGCCTAACGTGTCTTTTGTGATATCAGCACATTTTTTTACAATTTTTTTTTCATTTTTCTCAATTTCTCAATTTCCACAGACTTTCTCCCGCTTAAGAAGAAAAGATGTCTTTCTTTCAAGTCCTCAGGCCATTAAAAGGACATGAACAGGTATGTTAAAGTACATCATTTTTATTTTATTTAAGGGTGTTAATCTACCGAGCAACCATAAGCCAGACTACTTAATAGTACTAATGTAGTGATCAATTGAAAAACATGAATGAGGTTTGTCAAGTTGGTTCCTGAACCATTGAGGGGCGCGAGGCGTTTAGGTGAGGGGGGGGTGGGGGTTGCTAGGGCTGTCGCCTTTGTTTAGTAACCTTCGATCTTAGCTGTGACACATCTGGACATTGGCACCCAGTTGACTGGTGGTCCCGCACCATTGCTGCAGACAATGGATGTTGGGTGACCTAGTGCCTGGGATTTCTTTGTTCGGCACATGCAGACAGTCATGTCTTGGCCCCTAACTATACAAATCCTATTGAGTTTTTCTTTTCTCTCTTTTTTTAAAAAATTTAAGCAAGAAACTTATCACTCTTCTGTTGGTGAAACGTATAAGTTATAAGAGCTGAGTAAATTTATCGGAAGCTAGTTAGTTCGTTAACATTTCAGTAGAAAAATAACAAACGCCTCGGAAGCTGTGTTCATGGCTGGTTTAAAAGTTATGTTAACAAATTCATGAATAATATGAACCGATTAGTTTTAGTGACCCACTTGGGTTTTGTACTATCAAGTTCACATTAGAATTAGATGATTGTGAACTTGGCCGCTTCTTTTTTTAATTTCTAATTTATTAGGTTAACATGATTTCGAATGGCGAAGATAAGTATGGTATTTGCGACACATCTATGACCTTATTTGGTAGGCCTAACGCTAGGTGCTTCAAGGTTACACGTTATCCTTCGTTGGCAGAAAAAGGTGGAGGTAGTGGAGTGGGGGGTGTTACGTGCGTAGTAGTAAAGCGTTAGTAGGGAAACTCTGAAGTGCAGCTGTGTGATCTACAACACAAGCCAACAAGGCGTGATGTCATCCAAACAGCCCCCGTTCTTCCCTGCGCGTCTCTCCGCTTCGCTCTCTATACACGCGGCATGACCCAGTTCTTCCACACGCCCAGCACCGCCTAAATAGGAACATATCGTGTTTTCGCTTGTTGTGCGTCCTCGCGTGTTGGTGGTGGTAGTAGTAGTACAGTGACTATGTATAGAGCTAGTAGGTAGTGGGCTGTGTGTTTACAAGCGTTGACTATTTTTAGATCCCTGGCTGTACTTTCAATAATGAAAAGCTATTTACTATTTATCATAAATTGTTATAAAGATCGCAGTAGTTCAGGTGCTATTTATTATAAATAGTTGATTGCAGTCCCCTATCCTTTATTAGTTAAAGTTAGCATCTCTGTTTAAAAGTCCTTTCTATGACTATAAATCACAATATGTGGTTATAATTAATCACTTGATTGTTATAATTAACCACTTGAAAATGCAATATTAATAGCTAGTAAACTGTTAACCATTGAATATAATAAATTTTGAAAAAGTTGTTGTCACAAATATTAATTCAACCCCAAAAGGGAAGAGAGCAATAATGAAAACATTGGGCTGCATTTCCTATGCAGCTTTAACCTTAACCATTATCTATACGTCTAATCTTAAATAAAAGACGTCTAATCTTAAATAAAAGACGTATGTTAAAATGAATGGAATGTTAAATATGTTATTGGCTGTATAAGTATAAATTTGTTGTGATTTGTCTTTCCAAAATGATTCTCCATTTATTTCTATTTCATGTCTTCTCATTTCAGATTTGTAATATATTCGTCTACTACTAAGAAGGCTTATTGGACCATTATGAAGTGTAGATCATGTTAACTGAATGAGAAGGAATTTTGTCAGTTATAGAGAAAGAGCAAACAGGCTGCCGTGTTGCTATGGCAGAGATCCGCTGACTGTGTGGGACTTTTCTGTGATGGTGCTTGAATAAAAACCGGGACCGCTGCAATAAATTGGGACATGTCCTCGCGGTCAGGAGTGACCATATTTACAGGAAACACAAGGATGTGTCCTTATGTTCACGTTCATACATTTATGCTTCTTCTTGTCATAAAATTTACATGAAATTGAGTTACATTTGTGGCCTCTTCATTTTTTTCTATCTTATTTTTGTCACCTCAGTGTTAATGTTTGTATTAAATAATGCTGTTGCCATTTTCCAAATTCGGCTTAACATTTTTGTAAAGAAATGGAAGGTGTCCTTTTGAAGTATAGTGCCACTGGCAGTTATTGCCATTGATATGGCATGATAAAGTAGTTATCCACTGACCTTAAGGAATCAAGTGCATTTAAAAATATAATTTTTTTTTTATTATTCTTTTGGTTTCTTTAGAAATAATTTGTTCATTTTATTGACCTTTTTTCCCTTTTAATGTGAATGTATGTTTGATTGTTTTCTTTTAAAGACTAAAATATTATGATATAAATATTTTCTTCAGTTATTTTTTTTAGTACCATACGAGCACAGATCAAAAATTAGTTATAGGCATTGGCTTGTGCATTTGTCAGGGATTTCATGATATATATGTTATCATATGCCCTTGTCAGTACTCACTGGCGTGTTATTTTATCATGTACCACTAGCTTGTTGGTATGAGTAGAGCTGCCTTAAAAGCTTTTTTTTTTTTTTCCTTCTTTTTTTTTTTTGTTTTCTTTATTTTTCTTTTTTTTTTTTTGGCACTTGTATTTCGCACTATTTATACTAAACACATTTTTGATTGTACGCTTGAGATTGTTATCAGNTTTTTCCCCAGGGGGCCCCTTTAGGATTTATTTTTTTGCGCCCCCCCCCCCCCCTCTCTGCTAATCAAGATTTTCAATTTACATTTTGTAGCTAGCGATTCATTTCAGCATTGTCAGAATTGAGTAAATTGCATAAGTTAATATTATGGAGGATCATTTTCCGTTACTTTTTAATAGGTCTATCTCTAAAATTTTAACATTCCCTTAGGAATGGTCTAACGAAAACAAAGTAAACTAACTTTTTTCAATATCCATGCTACAAATGATTGTTCTTATTTACTTAATTGTTTTTTTTGTCTATATCCCAGAGTTTTAATTGAGGTAAATATACGAAAGAAAGATGGTCATTTTCTTTTGAATTGGTAGAAAAATAAAAGGCATACACACGCCGCGCCCCCCCCCCCCCCCCCCTTTTTTTTTTAAATTTAAAATTTTATAAAAGGTGATCTCGCTTGCATTATTGTATCAATCATTCCCCTTAATATTTATTTCATCATCAATCAATGCTCATCTTCAAACTAAGAATAAAACACAACAGGTGGACAAGGCAATGTGGACAGTCTACTCAAACCAAGAAAATTGTTTAAAAGTTGAAACAGAAGCAGCATCAAATTTTCCTGTACTTGTGTGTGTGAGGTGTGCATGGGTTGCCGTGGTGACTGAAAGGTGATACCAGTTGCATGAGAGTCCGGATAACTTATATAATTTTATATATTTATATTTGTGTACATTACAGGAAAAAGCTACATGCAAAACGTTATTTGCTAATCCAAACAAGTGCCCAATTTTGTCTTTGAATATTTCTTGAACTTTTTTTTTTTCCCTCTGTACAATGATCATGTGGATTTTAATTTTATTTCTGATATGTGCACTTGACTGCGTGTTATGTAAGAAAATACACCATAGTTGAACAGGTGTACTGCTCTGCTACAGTGCTTCACATACAACATTGGGTTCGTAGCATTCGTATGACACAGTGAATGTTTGGATGAATTGTGTCCATGAATTGTTGTGTCCCTAAACATATCTGGCAGCACACTGGTGTGTCACTGCACACTGACCTTTAATGAGACATGTCTTGTGTACAATTTTTGGTTTGTTTGTTTCTGCTAGCAGTTCACATGTGTCAGACCTGTTAGCAGTTCACGTGTCAGACCTGTTAGCAGTTCACATGTGTCAGACCTGTTAGCAGTTCACGTGTGTCAGACCTGTTAGCAGTTCACATGTGTCAGACCTGTTAGCAGTTCACATGTGGCGGTGGATGATTTGCTTATTCATATTATGTTAAGACAATTTAAAAAAGTTTTAAATAATGTTAACTCAATATTTTTTATAGGTTTTAAACAATACAAATTTTTTAAAGTTGTTATAGGTTATCATAAAGGACTGTTCATGGTTATACTATTTTATTTCTCTGTCTTCTCCTATATATATTTCTTTGGAAATATAATGGTTAGGTTAGTTTACATATGTTAAAGGTTGAAATAAAATTTATCCTATTGTTGCATCACTTCTTATAAATACAGGATTGTTGTAAAGAAGACAGACAGTTTAGAGATTTGAGATACTGCATGCATGTAAATAGGAACAGAATGTAAATATTTCTATACATGCCCAGTGTAAATTATTTTAATTTATTGATTGAGGTGGTCACCCACATCATAAGGGTTTGTTTTTTTTAATGGGATTATGTATGTGTGAATTTTGGGGTGGGGGTGGGTTGTATTCAAGCAGTATGGCTGACTGGAAACATTTGACATGTTGAAAATACCAACTGTAAATAAAAACAGGGAAAAGAATTTCGTATCTTTGTTGTTTTTGTATCTTTGTTGTTTTTGTATAAGGTAACTATGACTTTTGGTACTGGTGTTACCTATCTTCAGACAATCTGACCAATACTTGAACAGGAACATAACCACTGTAGTAGTGTGCTAGTCAAACAAGCTGACCATTACATAAACACCAGCTCAGCCATTGTGATAATCATAAAAGTAAGCTAACCATAACTTAAACAGAAACTTATTGACTTAGCATGGTTGCAATGCTATGTATGAAGCCCTGGGGAGCAACCAACTTTGTCAGTCAGGATTACAATATAGGTGATTGTAGACTCAAAGGTTTTTAAAAAGCATTTTATTTTAATGATTTATTATTGGTATTGCCTGAATATACCTCTATGAGTAATAACTCAAGTAAAACAGTGTTGACAACTGTTAAGCTTTTCAGTGTACCTAAGTATTGATTAGATAAGACGTCTTGAAATGAACCATACGTGCCCACAATAAACAAAGATTTGCATGGGTCCACAGTGGACATGCCCACAATAAACTAAGATTTGTATGGGTTGAGAGTGGACTTGTGAGTTTCAGATTTAAATTTAATACAACTTCACAGACATACAGCCCTGCTGCCCCCCAAAAATCAAGTACACATTTACAATATTAGTTTACTTGTTGGTAGTTGAACTGAGTTTAAGGGTAAGTAGCCTAATCGCCAACCCCTAAGCCCCATTTCTGCCAACCCCTAAGCCCCATTTCTGCCAACCCCTAAGCCCCATTTCTGCCAACCCCTAAGCCCCATTTCTGCCAACCCCTAAGCCCCATTTCTGCCAACCCCTAAGCCCCATTTCTGCCAACCCCTAAGCCCCATTTCTGCCAACCCCTAAGCCCCATTTCTGCCAACCCCTAAGCCCCATTTCTGCCAACCCCTAAGCCCCATTTCTGCCAACCGTATGTTTCTAATTAGTAACTCGGTATTTATATTGTGGAGGGCAATCTGACAGCCCAGTTTGCAGTAGTCTTACTGGGAAGGTGGGCCACATTACTTTTATTGGACCTAAGTGAAAAGAATAAGATCTTTCACCATCCTGTAATCACCAAAATGTCCCAAAAACGCCCCAGGTATATAGAGTTTCCTATTGAGATGTATTTAAGAATACACACGCATTTAATAGTGAGAGAGAGTGTTTTAATAAGGCTATGCATCAATTAATTTTATGTACATTTAGGTGTCCTTGTATTGCCCGACTATACCTCTATGAGGGGCCCCTGTAGCTCGAGGGCTCGCTCATCTATAAATAATATACACAGGTGTTGCAGCGGCAGCTTGATGATACATTGATTAAAAGGATCAATCACTGCTCTTACGCTTACTACTAAAAGTAAGGTAATAAAATTTAAAAACGAGAAATGAAAAATATTTCCTGGATGGAGTGAGGCTGATCTAATGTGATTTAATTTTACGATGATGAATTATAAGAACATGCTTCGGTTGACACTATTACAGTGTCTTAAGTTCCATAGATTCGAACATAATGCCAAAATAAGTGGCGCGACCATGAAATTAAAAGCCATTAGTGGACCGGATTCGGTTATAATGCATTAGTGGAGTAATTCATCAGTAGAAAGACCTTGGTCATAATTCATCAGTGGAGTGACCATGGTCGTAATTCATCAGTGGAGTGACCTTGGTCGTAATTCATCAGTGAAGTGACCATGGTCGTAATTCATCAGTGGAGTGACCTTGGTCGTAATTCATCAGTGGAGTGACCTTGGTCGTAATTCATCAGTGGAATGACCTTGGTCGTAATTCATCAGTGGAGTGACCATGGTCGTAATTCATCAGTGGAGTGACCTTGGTCGTAATTCATCAGTGGATCGGCTTTGCTTGAAACTTAAATCGATCAATGTTGTGACCTTGTTGTAGGGACCTTAGAGGGAACATTGGTTGCGAGGCAGAAGACCACTGTAGAAATCTGTATCAGAGGTCGTCTGACCCTTCCCCGGGACGGGAGGGTGGGGGGAGGGGAGATTTTATGATGGTAATATATCATCCCAACTCCCGGGAAAGTCCACTACTGACTCAGTGAGAGCAGCTTCACCGGCCGATCAGATGTCCTAGGGCTGGGGTGGCCTCCGTTGGTACCCGATCGAGTTGGTGCTGGTGGGGGCTGTCCGATTGAAGGGAGATCTCCAACGTGTCGCTTCGCGGCCTGATACTCGGGCTGGAGGGGGACTGTGCTTCGGGGAGGGCATAAAGAGCTGGGTACTTTGGTACTTGTACTTGGTACTAGCTCGACCGCTCGCTGACGCCATTTCATGATGTGCAATTTCAGTGACCTTGCTTGTTAGGAAATCCTTCAGCCTCAGAGCAGTAACGTCAAATTCTACGAAATGTTTCTTTCATCTTTAAGGAATTAGAAAATAAGACACGAACCATAACTCAGTGCCGGTACTCCACAAAATGTTAGTACATCTTGATAAATATATTCAATCAAGGAATTCGTGTATTTAATACCGGTAAACAATTTTGAAATGGTCAGAATCTCACTCTTTAGTCTTTACTTAATAACTTTACTAGCTGATATTCCCGGCGTTGCCCGACTATGCATTCGGGGAAAAAAAACATATTCAAAGACCATTTAGCTAAAATCAAAATTAGGGGCACTAATTTAAAAAAAATGTAAAAAAAAAAAATAATTTAAAAAAAACGTGGCTAAAGTAAAAAATAATGACATTTTTTTTCCTAATGCATAGTAACTTTTGTCCACATTTCGTTCCCCGATGTTTCCCGTTCCCTATGTGACCCAACTCCATGATAAGACCCCGTCTCTCGAAGGGATCCCGATGTGGATGGGTTCCCTTTCAATGATGGGATACCGTTCCACAATGAGATTCCGTCCCCCAATTGGATCCCGTTTCCAAATGGAATCTCGTTCCGTGTGGGATCTCGTTCCGTGTGGGATCTCGTTCCGTGTGGGATCTCGTTCCGTGTGGGATCTCGGTCCGTGTGGGATCTCGTTCCGTGTGGGATCTCGTTTTGTGTGGGATCTCGTTCCGTGTGGGATCCCGTTCCGTGTGGGATCTCGTTCCATGTGGGATCTCGTTCCGTGTGGGATCTCGTTCCAAGTAAAAGTGTACATTGTAATCTAAGCCTTCAACTTCACATGTGTACGGTACGTGGCTTAGGCCATCATAGTGGACGATTCATTTGAAACTTCCAAAAGTATCTTTAATTTTAATTCATATTCCATAAAATACGATGAAACTCATTGACAGTTAATGAAACACAATAAACATGATAAGTGCATTTTTGATTATCTTTAAAAGTTAATAGAAACAAGTTGCAGCTACAAGAAAAATGTAGAAACTTCATGAAACTTATAAAAATGTGATTCAGTGATACCGAGAAAATCTCCAGGAAAGTACGGTATAGAAATGAATAGAACTTCACTAACATTTCAATAAGCTTATAGTTCCTACTCTATATCCCCGTGGATCAATATAGAATTTCCAGGAGCATTCTAGTTCTAGATTATATATGGAAAAATGAAATGGGGCCTCTGGCCCAAAAGGATTAGATAGTATGTCTTCAGTATGTTGCAAAATTTAAAA